ATGTCCCAAAACCTTAAGGTTTGGTTCACACTGCTGCGACTTGGGACCTAACTTGTGAGACGCCAAGTTGCATGACATATGAAATCCTGTGTTAGTCAATGAAAGCTGTTTTAATTAGCACTTCTGAAACCGCTCTGACTTTAGAAAAGGTTCCTGTACTACTTCAAGGTGACATCTATCTGACTTGTGCCCATAGACTTTAAGTCATCTCCAAGTCGAATCTTCACTCCTCCACTCCTCCTACCACTCCATCCCCCACAGCCACTTCCTCCTAGATTGTAAGCTCGAAAGAGCAGGGCCCTTGAACCCCTCATGTATTGTTTTGTTACTGTATTGTTTCATGTACTGTCCCCCACTATATAATGTACAGCGCTGAGCAAACCTTTTGGCGCTATATAAATACTGTATAATAATAATAATCTTCATCTATATTGATGATGTGATTTCGATCCGACACACCTTTTTTTTTTCCAATTGGAAAAGATCAACCAGGGCATGCTGGCTCTGTGATGTCTCAAGGTTACCCTGTGATGTCATCAGTTGGCCCCAACTCTTAGCTATTTAAGAACTGTTAGATGGCGGAGGTCTGTGATGGCAGGAGCCAGCATTGGGAGTGGAACTCTTGTTTTATTTTCTGTTGGAAAATAAACATGGGGGGACAGTTTTTTTTTTAAATGAAGGATTTAATTTGTTTTATTCACTTTTTACACTTTTTTGGTGAATGAATAGGGGTACTTTGTATGGGGAGGGCTGAGATGTATGAGCCCCCATGTTAAAGGGGGGTTCCAGATTCTGATAAGTCACCCCCCCGCAGACCCCCACAACCAGTGTTGTGGGGAAGAGGCCCTTGTCTCCATCAATATGGGGATAAGGTGCTTTGGGGGGGCCCTTCTACCCTTAATTACCCCCCATGTTGAGAGCACGTGGCCTGGTCCATTTCAGGAGGGGCGCTAGCTCGTCCCCCTTCCTAACCTGCTGGGCTGCATGCTCAGATAAGGATCTGGTATTGATTTGGAGGGAGGACCTCAAGCCTTTTTTTTAATTTTGGCGTGGTATTCCCCTTAAAAGTCATACCAGACTGGATGGGGACCCCAATGCAGTTTTTTTATGTTTTATTTTAATTGTCGACATTCTTTTATTTACATTCAGATGTCATCAGAAAACCCACTGACAGCTGATGAGTCATAGGTTGTTAAGGACGCGGTGGCCTGCTTCCTGAGCCCGCTCCTTAGCAACCAGCTGTTCTTTACACAGAATTCGGATTGGTTGATCAATGTTTGACTGATTTGCATTGCATTTGTTCAGAAAATTAGGAGTTTGTTGTAATTCAATAAATGAAACAAAATCGAACAAAAAAAATTTATATTTTCCAATTAGTCAAAAAAAAAATAGCAAAGTCACAAGGCAAAGTTGTGTATCATCAAGTCATACTCAAGTCGCCAGCTAATCAACAGAAAGTCAGTTGGCAAAGTCACACCATACGTAATGCAACTTTCAGGTCGCAGTAGTGTGAAACGAGCCTAACTCCCTTTGACACCCAAATGGCTGACTCCTGTAACTGAAACAGATGAGGAAGATTTGGATTATTCCCCAGAGGTACATATGGCGATCACTAACCTGAAACATCTGTAGGAAGTACACCACCCATATTCCAAGCTTTAATAGTTGCTCTCATGGTACAAATGAGGGAGTATGGGTTCCAAAAGCCTTTATAAACATTTTTTTTAATTTGAGGCATAACTGCACCTTGTTTTGTCTTGTTTTTTAATAAATAAAGGAAGCATAGTCAAAATATAGTGTAGAAACAAGGAACTGCCGCACATCAGAGAGATCACCGTCATCTGCGTTTATTGTAAAAAGACATCCATAGACATTAGGGTTGATTTACTAAAACTGGAGAGTGCAAAATCTGGTGCAACTGTGCATGGTAGCCAATCAGCTTCTAAATTCAGCTTGTTCAATTAAGCTTTGACAGAAAATAAACTCCAGTATTAGTAAATCAACAACTCCAATTTTAGTAAATCAACCCCATTGTGTTAACTGGGTTAGAACCTAACTCCATTGACTCCCAAGCCCTCTGTTCTTCCCATTTTTATCAAATAATATAGATACCTTTTTTCAAGCAATCTGCTGGCTGGTTAGGTGACGTTCCAAAGGGTATCTACAAAAAAAACAAAAACAAAACAGAAGCAGGGCTTTATAGCTGAGCAGACAGTATTTAAAGTCATATAAAGTCATGGTTAAACTATAGAGAAGACACAATATACTCCGAAAATAAGACACTGTCTTATATTTTTTTTGGCTCAAAAAAACACACTAGGTTTTATTTTCGGGGTAGGTCTTATTTTATAAATGTCCAGGTGTGTGGACAGGGGGTGCAGAGGTGAGCAGCAGGCAGTTGTGGATGAGGGTTACTATGGAGAGAGCCGGTTGATGACAGTTGTGAGCTGCAGTAAGGTGTTGCAGGGGTGACTTGACAGGTGAGTTTCAGACAGGGTGCAGATATGAGCCACAGACAGGGTGAAGGGGTGAGTTGCAGATGGGGAATGCAGAGGTGAGCTGTGGCCAGGGGGTGCAGAGCTGAGCTGTGACTGGGGGTGCAAAGGTGGATTGCAACTCAGCTCACCTTTGCACCCCCCCAGCCGCAGCTCACCTATGCACCCTGTCTGCAACTCACCTGACTCAATTTACCTCTGCAACACCTGAGTGCAGCTCACCTTTGCACATCCCCCCCCCCCCCCCCCCCTCCACTTCCCTCATATGGTTAGCTAGCTTTGCAAAACACAGCTGTCAGCAGCTGGCCCCTCTCTATAGTAACTCCCGTTTCGGGTCCTATCTTCTCACACAGTGCACCAAGCGCACTTACCGCTTCGCCTCTTCCCCACTGGTCGGTGATCACCCCCGGGGCATCGGCTTCCATGCATTAGGCTGCAGGGGGAGATTTCCCCACCCCTAAACACACTGCATACTGCACCCGCAGATATCTGTTCCTTCCCTGTCCCACAGTGAGCACAGAGGTAGGGAGGTTCTGTGAGAGCGGATGGTGCTGTCACTTCAGCCTCGCTTCTGTGTTTATAAGAGACAATAGATATGGGTGTGCGCAAAGCTGGTGGCGGAATGGCATTCCACCATGTTCCAGCTGAAAAAAAGCCCTGATCACAACTAGGTCTTATTTTCGGGGTAGGTCTTATTTTAGGGGAAACAGGGTAATTATTATTATTGTACAGGATTTATATAGCGCCAACAGTTTGCATAGTGCTTTACAATATAAGGGAGACAGTACAATTACAATACATTTCAGTACAGAAGGAATATGAGGGCCCTGCTTGTGGAGTTTACAATCTAAAGGAAGGGGGAGGTGATACAAAAGGTGAGAGCTGCGGGGGATTATCTGGTGGAGGTAATTTAAGTTCTTAGGTGGAGGTGGGGTAGGCTTCCCTGAATAAATGAGTTTTCAAAGATCGCCTAAAGGCAGACAGGGTGGGGGCTGACCGGACATACTGTGGTATTGAGTTCCAGAGAATGGGAGAGGCTCTGGAGAAGTCCTGGAGGCGAGCGTGGGAGAAGGTGATGAGGGAGCTAGAGAGGAAGATATCTTGGGAGGAGCAGAGCGGGTGATTTGGGTGATATCTGCGTATGAGGTCGGTGATGTAGCTAGGGGCAGTGTTGTGGATGGCTTTGTAAGCTGTGGTTAGTATTTTGAATTTTATACGTTGGGTTAGTGGAAGCCAGTGAAGTGATTGGCAGAGAGGGGCAGCAGTTGCTGATCGGTTGGTAAGGTGTACGAGTCTAGCAGCAGCATTCATAATAGACTGAAGGGGGGATAGCCTGTGTAACGGTAGACCAGTGAGGAGGGAGTTGCAGTAATCAAGGCGGGATATAACCAAGGCATGGATAAGTTGTTTTATGGTGTCATTGGTCAGGAAGGGGCGGATTTTGGAAATGTTCCGGAGGTTGAGACGGCAGGATTTAGCCAGTGATTGGATGTGGGGCCCAGTATGGCCAGTAGACCCCAGTGCTGCTGTTTTTTATGCACAGAGGGTTAGTCCATGGCATTGAGGACTTATTATTGGTATTGGAGAAGTGTATATGCAAGCAAAGAATTTATGTTTATATTGGGCAGAGTTAATATTGGGGTTTGCAGTAACAAAATGGGTTAGTTTTGGGGTTAGAGAAAGGGTTGGTCTGGTTAGAGAAAGGACATTACATGCCAAGCTCTGCCTAAAAAAGCATCAACCCCAGGCTCCCAAAATGCATATTGGGGTTTGCAGTAACAGACTGGGTTAGATTTGGGGTTAGAGAAAGGGTTGGTCTGGTAAGAGAAAGGGCATTGCAGACCAATCTCTGCTTAAAAAAAACATCAACCCCAGGCTCCCAAAATGCATTCTTTGCTACCTTAGGGGCTAGTTGCCAGACTGGAGCACTGTCAGGTTGGTGGTGGCATTGGGAGTGTATAATTGGCCTTACCAAACACCAACTTTCAGAAAGTCAACACTTGTTTAGGATTTGCAGGACGCTTCAGTTGCAGATTGTCAGGTGGGAGAAGCCTGCTATACACTTCACTGTTGTTTAATTCCTTTTTGCTCAGTACAGGGTTGATTAAAATCTCTGTACTATTTAATAAGCTTTAAATGAATAAGTATCCTAACCTGGAGAAGGAGAAAGCAGAACAGTTGTAGTGTGTGGGGGTTTATGGAAGAGCCCCACAGCAATGTCACAGACAGGATTATTGTTAATTATTAAAATCCAACTCCTTTATCAGTATCTGATTTTTCTTTTCTGCTTCCAGTGTTGGTGTCTGTGAAAACAAATGTCTGAACATTGTGCCAAACAAGTCAATGTAATTAATATTACTTTTTTTTCTGTGTAATGAAAGGGATTATTTTGGTTGGTTTAGACAGGCGTGCTTTAGATGAGATGCGTTTATCTATGATGTTGCTGTTCTAGTTTCTTTTTAATGGATACATACACTAAGTAGTGTTTGGCTGTTCTCTTTCAGCATGGACTATGAAGCTGCCCAGCTGGAAAATCAACATGTGCACAGCGTCTATGAGAGCACAGCTCCGTACTTCAATGAAGTGCAAAGTAAGGCTTGGCCGAAGGTTCGACAGTTTCTGCTGGATCAAAAGCCAGGCAGTCTCATTGTGGATATAGGTAAGGCTCACACTGCGATATTGATACAGCAGATTCAAGTTTTAAAATATAAGGAAGCTGTTTATCCTGCCAAAGGATTTGTATTTTTGTTCATGGGGTCCTGAGATTTATACAGCTCTGCCACACAAGAATGCAGCGTTGTCTGGGCAGGGTAAGAGAACTGATTTTTCTATGCTACAGTTAAAGTGACTCTAAACTCTGTTTTCTTTTTTAATTTGTTAATCTTTTTAAGTATGTATTCTTAGCACAAAGTACTTTCTATTGCTCCTAGTCTTCTCCAAACCTCCAAATTCCTTTCTTTAGCTTTTGTGATCTGACTTCTTATTAGAGAGTGGCTACATTCATTCTCCATGGTCCCACCGTGTATGGAATGTGATTTGTAGTGTGTCACTACTAGAGCACACTGCACAGTTAGGCCCCATGTACACGGGACACTTCTGAACAATGGAAACTGACTGCTGGAAAATGTAGGTTAAAAAACGTCAGTTTAGCCGTGTTTGCATAACGCGTTTATGTGCATTGTCGGTTTGAAGCATTTTTTAAAGATAAGCACAGGAGAACCTCCCAAATGCCCAGAATGCACTGAAAAGTGGTAAATTATTAACTATTTCAGACTGTTTCAGAGAAATACAGAGAGTAGAAGCAGAGAGAGCAGTATGTGTTGAGATTAGCTTAGGTGTGAGTTGCTCATTAAAATTTCTTTTGTTTCCAAGGGTGAGAAAGGTATCTGGAGGAGTGAGTCATTAAGGTCACCTGGCAGGGGGTCTCTATGAGGAATTTGAGGTGTGAATGGTCATGAACATATCTTTTGTTTCCAAGGGTGGGAGAAGAGTGTGTATTGGTCATTACAATGTGAGACAAACTTGGTAGGAACATCCTGTGTTCAGTGTTTTGTCCATCTGAGTACCTTGAAAATGCTTTGCATGCATTTTTAATGATGAAAAAAGGCTCTGGACAGCATCAGGAACTGGAAGAGTTAAAAAAAATTTCAAACGCTTATAAATGCGATTTGCAGCGTTTAGCCGCGTTTGAAACGCTGATAAAATCTACTGCTGAACGCAAGTTTTCTGCGTTCAAAAAAACGAGTGTAAACTCAACTGCCTGTAAACGGCTGTAATCGATGATGTTTACATGGACACAGGAAAACATTAGGGAGAGTTCAGGGGCTGCTGAAAAAAATGCTGAACAGCTCCTAAACACGAGTTTATCAGCTGCAGTGTACATGAGCCCTTAGAAAACAAAAAAAAAATAGAGGTATAGGAGCTCAGAGAAGATGTTGGTGATAGAAAAACACAGTAAGAATGTGGAAGTGTATGGATTATTTTTGGAAAATAAGGATATCATTTAGTGCCACTTTAGGTAACATTTTGGGCTTGTTCTCCGCAGTGGTCCATGGGGGATCGCTTTTTAGAGGGCTGTTGACAGGCAGTGGTGAAGTTAGATTTTGCTTTCTCATTGTCAATTTTAACCATAAAAAGGCTAACCCACCATACTGAAGCTGTGTGCATTGCTGAAAGGTGCTTGCGGCATGGTCCCATTAACTTTAATGGGTAGTGACCACTGAACAGGGGGTTTCATTTTTGCCATGGCAAATCTACAGCCCTGAGTGTCTTGTTTAGGGGAGTGGTAAAACTGCGTCTCCTCTGCCTGCTTTTACTGCACCCTGGCCACGTGTCTGAATGAGGACCTTACAGGTCCTGTCCTTCCTTCATCATGTGACTGGATGGTGGAAGTAGAAGTAGTAGACTGATAAGCTCATCTCTTTGTCACTCTGCTCTTTCCTTCTGTCAGCATGCGTCTTGTTAATACATGAGGACTGCTGCACAACTCATTGTTTCCTTGTGCTGCTTCTCCCTCTCCCAGGAGTTCTGTTGTACAGTGGAATGTAATAGGCTGATACCAGGTCAAACTGGAGCAGTTTAGTATCAGCAGCAGTGTGGTTTGGGCTGCAGTAATATGGGGCAGGGGGTGGTGTGATGCACGTTGTACACAGCCCCCTTTCTTATGGGAACTTGAAGTGTACAAAGTGACACTTCATTCATGTCACCACACAGCAGCATGGTGCCATCCAGTGAGGTGTGATATTAAGCAGCATGTCTGCATATTAATACACCTCACTGGACAGTGCCTCTGGGTTACGTTGTAGTGACAACAAGACACATAGAAAACAATTGCATCCTAGGGATGACTGGCATTCTTCCAGTGTGGAACAATGCCAATCATTGCTCTAGTGTGACAATCCTAAAAGCAAACGCCAGACAAATTTGTGTTATATATTACTAAACAAATCATCTTTTCATTTTGGAACTGCAATACTTAAAGTGTTACTAAACCCACATCAGTAAAATCAGTCTGTATATGCAGTAAAGCATGCTTGTTATACTCACTGTGGAACCTAAGGGGTTGATCCTCCACATTGTGTAAAAATGCTGTTTGATCCTGACTTCTCTGTTCCTCCCCTTCTTCCAGTGTTCCCCTCTTATCTCCTGATAAGACATATGTGTGGAGTCACTCTGCACATGCTCAGTTTGGTGTGTATTGATAGAGAGGTTTTTCTTTTTCTTGGGAGAGTACATGTGATCAGCACAGGGCCAATCAACACTTTCCAGACAGAGGTCAGGGGCACTGCATTCTCCTACAGCAAAATGAAAACTCCTTTTACAAGCTTTAACATGGGCTCTGCTGGACACTGATAGAAGTCACAAGACTGGTCTAACTGCTGATGATAAAAAGGTTTTTAGCGGTTTTATATTTACTAAAATAATTGCACTTCCATGTTCTGTGTATTGTGGGAGACCAGATATAGTGAATGCAGGGTCCTGGGTGTAGTAACACTTTAATTATGCATCACAGCTGGGCTCCTGGCCTCATGACTTTGTTCCAGTTTCTTTTTGGGAAAGAAGGCATGGATCTTACTGTGGGTGCGATAAGAACATCTGACCTAAATGTTCACATAACTTACCAGCTGGTGTTCTGAGGACACAGGATCACTGGCAAACAGGGGCATAGGACAAGGGATCTCAGGAACTTGGCTCAGGACTGGAAGTGCAGCAATAGCAGACATGACATCTAAGCCCATTATTGCCCCTCCCAATATAATGGAGAAAGTGAAACGGAGGTGCAATAACAAGAAGGTCGCACAGAGCAGAGCTGCTGATGACCAGTGCAGTGATGCTTTCCCATGCATTCCCTACATTTCGTTATGGTATCATTAAAGTGTTACTTACTAAACCCAGGACCCTGCATTCACTATATCTGATCTCCCACAGTACACAGAACATGGAATGGAAATTATTTTAGTAAATATAAACTGCTAAATACCTTTTCTCATCAGCAGTTAGAGCAGTCTTGTGACTTCAGCAGAGCACTGGTCAAAGCTTGTAGGAGGAGTTTTCTCTAGGAGGATGGAAATCCCCTGACCTCTGTCTGGACAGTGCTGATTGACCCTGTGCTGATCACATGCACTCTCCCAAGCAAAAAAACCCCTCCAGCAATACACACTAAACTGAGCATGTGCAGAAGGGCACGGTTCAGTCTGTCTTATCAGCCTGGGCATTTGAACAAGAGGAGGGACAGAGAAGAAAAGATCAAATGGCCTTTTTACACAATGCAGAGGATTAACCTCTTAGGTTCCACATTGAGTATAACAAGCATGCTGTACTGCATATACAGACTGATTTTACTGTTGTGGGTTTAGTAACACTTTAACTGTGATGTCACATGACAAAGTTGTTGCAATCTCTTTTTTCCAGGTGTGCTTTGATTTATTGTTAACAAAGGGTAGTAAGAAGGGGTACAGAAAGTGGAAGGGTGTAATGCAGGCCATACATTGGTTGAATTCCAAACAAATTTTCTTTAGAAAATCTGGAAATTTTGTGTGTTTTGTAACCCGATGATGCCACTGTTGATTTCGAAATTCGACCAACCAAGCCTTCAATTTCACCTCATGTTGCTACAGAAAAGAATTTTCATGACAAGGAATTTTCTTTTTTTTCCAGGTCACAGCTCATGCTCATTTCTTTTTCAATTATATTTCTCGCACGATTCTCCCATCATTGATTAGAAATTTGTTTGTTTTTCCAACATGCCCGATCCCTCAGATTCACTGGTCACACGAAAATCAGTCGTTTCTGTGGCCCACTCATGGTGTGAAATTCGAATGAAAATTCTTAGAAAAGATTTCGACCCATGTATGGCCGGCTTAAGTCCAGAGTTTGGAAGTAAAAAATATATATATAAAAAAAAACTTCAGGTCTCCCACAGTAACTCATAGACACAAACCCAAACACCAGTAATGTAAAGAAATATCTTTATTCCCATGACAAAACCCTACCCCACAGTTAAAAACAATAAAAATTAAATTAACCACATCACTAGGAACTGATGAGTAGAACTGCAAACTCTGCAATAATCAAAGACTATCAATAAACACTGTGTTTCAGTTGAAATACTGTAATCCATAGGCATAAACATGATCGTCCTTACTGGAATTTTTGCCTCTCAGTGAATGGACAGGCCGGACATGGCGTTGGATGGGGTGAAGTATAACCAACTGGCTCTGGCTATATGGCTTTAACTTGGTGTTGAATACTTTCCTGTTACAAGTCTGATAAATAACAACGCGTGTATACCTGGATATCTCCTAGATATATGACCTGCATATTATTTCATTATTGAGTTAGCAGGGCACCACCAATACTGCTGTAACAAGCTGACTGTTTCCTATTATCATACAGCTTCAATCACACAGTTCTAACCCTCTGGGGAGGTCCATTATGTATTCACAGCATATGGAGCGATACCTCAGTGTGATGTTCCTATTGAATGCCCTATTTAGAGTGTGCTTTTATGAGCACATTTTTCAGCAATTCCTGCACATGTTTATGTGCAAGTGGTTTATCCATCTTGGATCTGTTCTATAAGATCTAAAGGCCAAGTGTACCATTTGTAGGAACCTATTTAAATGATAAACTCCCATGGCTTTAAGTAGCATCTCTATG